ATCTCACATTTACACAATGTTTAGGCTTAAAAAACAAAAATGTCTGTGTGGAACTTAAAATGACCCCAAAATGCCATCGGATGTCCTAGTCCCTCACAAGCGCGTCTTTAATCACAATAATGCGGAGTATTGGGTGGGGGGCTAAGTACATGTCACACAGAGAAGCTGATTCCCCTTCTGACTGCCCCCCCCTCTCCTATACTGCGCTGTCAGTTTGCGTTTAAACCAATATGTCAGCTCCATCATCTCCAATAAGGCCAAGTTTGAGAAACGACATTGATTCCGGGATCAGCCAGATTAGACGGCTCCGAATCCGGCGAGCCGGCTGAAAGCGCGCTCTACTTAAAGGCACGCAACCCCTCAAACTACCGAAATGGAATGAGGCGCCTCGGCACAGTCGGCATTTCATTCTTGGAAAGATGATCGTGCTTGGCAAGTCATTTATATGACATATCTTACAGATGGGCATTCACCTTCTGGTCAGATTCGAGAGGGGGGGGGGGTGGGGGTTGTCTCTACTTTTTATTAAATTCCCTTGCACCTGATTGGGTAAAAAAATGACACTTTTAGCAAATGATCCCAAGTGCTTCAACATTCCCTCGTGGAGGTGAGGTGCTGATTGCATTTGTATAATTGGAGCTAGCAAGTGTTATTAATCCACCCAGAGAGAGGTGTTAAAACAGCATTGTATGTGGCAGACAAGAGATGTCCCCCGTCCCCTCCTCCGCCTCTATTCAAGCTTGGCTTCTCCATTTTAACATAAATGGCCTCTTTCACACCTCTTTTTAACCAATAAACCTCCCTGTCTAGGGTGTGTACTTGACTGTCTTCAAAGAAGTGAGTTAGATGTAGGTACACTGCTGAATCCTGACCAGAGGGCTTGGTTTGTTCTATGCTGTGCCATGAACAGAGGAGGTGTCAGGTTAGGAGTAGATATCATGGTTCACACAATGGCGGCACCACCATGGTCGCGGCGGTCGTACTTGGGACCGGGATCTGGCGTTCCGCCACTTGGGGAGGCGGCCTGGCCTGAAGGGGCACCGGGCAGGGATTTCTTTTCTACATTTCGGGCAAGCAGGGCTAAGTGTAAAGAAGAGGAGCCATTTTGTAGGAGTGATTCCGGCGGCTATACAGCCTATATGGCCCCGCTCTGTGGTCCGCCCCCTTCGCCGGCTGTCTCCTTCTGTGCTGTGGTTTTTGGGGTCCCCTGATCTTCTGGGGGACCCCAGCCCACGGCAAGGCAGTTGGCAGTAGACATTTTCTAAACTTGTCAACACCATCTGGGGGCGCTGTGGAGTAGTGTGAAACTTTTATAAATGAACCCCTAAGTGTTTTCTGAATAATATTTAAATAGAATTCTATTTAAAGCTG